GTACAGAGGGAGACTCGGTACACAGGGGGGGAGTCGTACAGGGGGAGACTCAGTTTCAGGGGGGAGAGGGCAAATACAGAGAGGACTCAGTACAGAGGGGATTTTAGTGCAGAGGGAGACTAGTAAAGAGGGGATCGCTACAGAGGGGAGGGCAGTTTCAGGGGGGGGACTCAGTACAAAGTTAGACTCAGTACGGAGGGAGGTAGATGAGGTAGACTCAGTACGGGGAGAGTCAGTAAGAGGGGGGGTCAGTACAGGGGAGAGTTAGTACAGAGGGAAAACTCGTACAGATGGGGAGTCGGTCAGAGGGGGACTCAGTACGGGGGGAGAAACCCGTTGGGAGGGAGACTCAAATTCAGAGGAAGATCAGAAAAGAGGGAGAATAAATTACAGGGGGAGAGTCAGTACAGGGGAAAATTCAGTACAGAGGGAGACTCAGGAAGAGGGAGGCTCAGTACAAAGGGGACTCAATTTCAGAGGAAGAGTCCCCCACATAGGGGGGCTCAAATAAGAGGGGGGGAGGTCGTCAGTACAGAGGGGGACTCAGTACAGAGGGGGGGCTCAGTAAATGAAAGGGGGACTCGTTTCAGAGGGAGCTCAGTTAAAAAGGGAGAATCAGTACAGAGGGAGACTCAGTACAAAAGGGGACTCAGTACAGAGGGGGAAAAATCCGTTTCAGGGGAGGTTCTGTACAGAGGGAAAATTTAGTACAGAGGGGGGTCAGTACAGAGGGGGGATGCTAAACAGAGGGGGACTCCGGGACCCAGGGGGGATCAGTAAGAGGGAGACTCAGTACAGAGGGGGAGTCAGTTTAAAGAGGGAGGGCTCAGTACACAGGGAGGGCTCAGTACGGGGGGGAGACTCAGTACAGGGGAGATCAGTACAGGGAAAAACTCACTAAGAGGGGGAGTCAGTACAAAGGGGGACTCGTACAGAGGGAGAGTTTGTACAGAGGGGGCGTCAGTTTCAAAGGGGGAGTCAGAAAAGGGAAAGGGCCGTACAGGGGGAGATCAGAAAAAGGAAGGGCTCGTACAAGGGAAAACTCAGTACAGAGGAAGACTCAGTAAAAGGGGGAGACTCAGTTAAAAGAGGGAAAACTCCCGTACGAGGGAGAGTCCCCGTAAAAGAGGGGGATTTCTTTTTCAGAGGGGGGAATCAGTTCCCAGGGGGACTCAGTTTCAGAGGGGGACTCAGTACGAGGGAGAGTCGTAAAAAGGGGAGCCAGTACCAGGGGGGACTCAGTACAGAGGGAGAATCAGTACCGAGGGAGACTTTAGTAAGAGGAAAAAACTCAGTACAGAGGGGAGAGTCAGTACCGAGGGAGGACTCAGAAAAGAGGGAGCTCAGTACGAGGGAGAGTCAGTTTCAGAGGGGCGTCAGTACAGAGGGATTGGGAGTACAAAGGGAGAGCTAGTACAGGGGAGAAATCGTGCAGAGGGAGGGGTCAGAAAAGGGGGGAGAGCCCGTACAGAGGGAGAATCAGTACAGAGGGGAGACTTTGTACAGAGGGAGAGTCAGTCAGAGGGAGGGTCAGTACAGAGGGGGACCCGTGAAGAGTTTTTAAAGGGGAATCCTTTTGAAAATTTTTCCCCCCCAATTTTTTTTTCCCCCCTTTTTTTGGGTTTGGGGGGAAACGGGTTTTTTTGGGGGGTTTTTTCCCCTCTTTTTGGGGTTTTTTGGTTTTTTCCAAAATTTTTAAACCCCCGGGGGGGTTTTTTTTTTTTTTTTTTTTTAAAAAAAGGGGGGTTTTACCTTTCCCCCGGGGGTTTTTTTTTTCCCCCTTTTTTTGTTTTTTTTCCCAAAATTTTTTTTGGGGGGTTTTGGGGGTTTTTGGGTTTTTGGGGGTTTAACAAAAAAAAAGGGGGGGGGGGGGGTTTTTTTTGGGGGGAAAAAAAGGGAAAAAAAGGGGGGGTTTTTTTTTTTCCCTTTTTTTTGGGGGGGGGGGTTGGGAAAATTTTTTTGGAAAATTTGGGGGGAAAAGGGGGGGCCAAGGGTTTTGGGGGGGGGGAAAAAAATTACCCCAAAAAAAAAACCCCCCCCCTTTTTTTTTTGGGGGGGGGGGGTTTTTTAATTTTTAAAAAAAAAAAAAAATTTTTTTTAAAAAAAAAATTTAAATTTTTTTTGGGGGAAAACCCCTTTTGGGGGGGGGGGTTTTTTTTAAAAAAAGGGGGGGGGGGGGGGTTTTTTTTTTTTTTTTTCCTTTTTTTGGGTTTTTCCCTTTTTTTTTTTTAAAAAAAAAACCTTTTTTTTAAAAATTAACCCCCCAAAAAAAAAATTTTTGGGGGGCCTTTTTAAAAAAAAAAAAAAAAAAAAAAAAAAGGGGGTAAGAGGGAAAGGGGGGGCCCGGGGGGAATATTTTTTTCCCCCCCAAAAAAAAAAAATTCCAAAAAAAAGGGAAAAAGGGAAAAAAAAAAAGGGGGGGGGGGGCCCTTTAAAGGGGGCCAAAAGGGGAAAAAAAAGGGGGGGCCCAAAAAAGGGGGGTTTTGGGGGGAATTTTAGGGGGAAAAAAAACCCCTTTTGGGGGGGAAACCAAAAGGGGGGGGGGGGTTAAAGGGGGGGGGGAAAAAGGGGGGGGGGGGGAAAAAAAAAAAAAGGGGGGGGGGGGGGGGGAAAAAAGGGGGAAAAAAAAAGGGGGAAAAAAAAGGGGGGGTTTGGGGGGGGTTTTTGGGGGGGGAAAAAAGGGGGGGAAAAAAAGGGGGGCCGGGGGGGGGGGGGGAAAAAAAAAGGGGGGGGGGGGGGGGGGGGGGGGAAAAAGGGGGGAACCCAAAAAAGGGGGCCCGTTTGGGGGGGAAAAAAAAAGGGGGGGGTTAAAGGGGGGAAAAAGGGGGGAAAAAGGGGGGGGAAAAAAGGGGGAAGTTAAAGGGGGGGAAAACCGGGGGGAAAAAGAGGGGGGAACCCAAAAAAAGGGCCGGGGAAGGCAGGGGGGGGAAGGGAAAAAAAGGGGGGGGAAAAAAAGGGGGGCCCGGGGGGGCCCCCGGGGGGGGGAAAAAAAAGGGGGGAAAAAAGGGGGGGGGGGGCCGGGGGGGAAAAAAGGGGGGAAAAAAAGGGGGGAAAAAAGGGGGGGGTTTAAAAAGGGGGGGGGGGGGAAAAAAAAGGGGGGGGGAAAAAAGGGGAAAAAAGGGGAGGGGGGGGGGGGGAGGGGGAAAAGGGGGGGTCCCCAAAAAAAAAAAAACCCCCCCGGGGGGAAAAAAAAAAGGGAGAGGGGCCCCAAAAAAAACCAAAAAAGGGGGGGGGAAAAGAGGGGGGGGGGGAAAAAAAAAGGGGAAAAAAAGGGGGGGGGGAAAAAATTTTTTTGGGGGGGGGGAAAAAAAGGGAAAAGGGGGGAAAAAAAAAGGGGGGAAAGGGGGAAAAAGGGCCCAAAAAAGGGGGAAAAAAATTAAAGGGGGGGGGGGGGGGCCCCGGGGGGAAAAAAAAAAAAGGGGGGAAAAAAAAAAAAAAAAGGGGGGGGGAGGGGGGGGCCCCGGGGGGGGGGGGGGAAAAGGGGAAAAAAAAAAAAGGGGGGGAAAAAAAGGGGGGGGGAGTGAAGGGGGAAAAATTTGGTTTCCAATTTTAAAAAACCCCAAAAAAAGGGGGGCCCAAAAAAAAAGGGGGGGGGGGGGGGGGGGGGGGGGGGGGGGGAAAAAAGGGGGGGGGCCCCAAAAAAAAGGGGGGGGGGGGGAAAAAGGGGGGGAAAAAGGGGGGGGGGAATTTCGGGGGGAAAAAAAAAAAAAGGGGGGGGGCCAAGGGGGGGGGGGGGGAAAAAAAAAAAGGGGGGGGGGGGGAAAAAAAAAAAAAAAAGGGGGGGGGGGGGGGGAAAAAAAAAGGGGGGGAAAAAGGGGGGGGGGGTTTTAAAAGGGGAGGGGAAAAGGGGAAAAAAAAAAAAAATTTTTTTTTTTAAAAAAACCGACAGCCAGTAAAGAGGGAGAGTTAGTACAGAGCCAGCACAGTCAGCACAGAAGAGTCAGTACAGAGGAAGTTAGTATACAGAGCTAGTCAGCAGAGTCAGTACCGAGGAAGAGAAGGAAAAAGCTAGAGAAAGAAGGGTAAAATATAGGAAAATAGAGAAAAGAGGAAGAAATTAAGGAAGAGAGAAATCAGAAAGTAAGAGAGTCAGTCCACATGCAGCAGCAGCTTTACATGTAAATCTATTGATTACCGTTTAGTCATGGGGAAACGCTAAACCTGTGAGGGTTAAACAGAGCCTGGGAAATAAAGGGTAATCAGGGGGAAGAGCAGCTCCAATTTCTTGGACCAAGATTCCTTCACCAGCATCAAGGAACACCCTTCAAGGAAAGTAGGAACATACAACGCCTGGGGAACTGAAGGCACAGTGGCTACAGGGTGAGGTAGCTCCACTTCTTTGGATCAAGAGCACTTTTATGGGTATCAAGGCTCCCCTTTCAAAGAGGTTAATCTGTTGACCGTGTGTTTCTGAGTCAATCCTGCAGAGTAACGCCAGAGGGAAGATATTAGCGCGTGCGTCAAATGAGTGGTTAAGGTCGTGGCGCCACGTACAGTGTATCCTTGCTATACTGCTGTTCTGCGGTCCCTTTTTTCCTTTAGTTGAGATCGATCCTTCCCTACCCTGGCTACTTCTCTCCTATGGAGCCATCCATTTGCAATCATTGCCTTTTAATACGCTTTGAAAATGTGGTAAATGCATCAATTAAGTACAGTCTCTCAGTTTAGAACTCATGTATGCTTATTATCGATTAAAACTGAAATTTTGAAAGTAATTTGTTTGTAGTGAAGAGAATTAGGATACAGATGGTAAGGGTGGAAAACGGAACAGCTGCTCCTGGAGGGGGGACCTCCATGCTGCTGCCGGCCGCACACACAACCAAAAATCGATTTTTAATAATGGTTAGTGGCAGAGATATAAGCCATTCTGTTGGTCATTTCGCATAGTGAGGCTACTTTTCGTGTATCTACTTGTCTGATGAGAATGTACGTAGTGATGTTGGAGATAAAATAAGAGTGGAAGGGTACGAGGAGTGCGAGTGTGTGAGGCAGCAGCCGGCAGCGTGTGTCAGGGAGTCGTGTGTTGTCTGGTGTGGCAGCCGGAGCCTCTGTGTCCCTCAGACCCAAAATGAAAGTGTAGTGTGTGTGTCCCCTTGCTAGTGGAAAGGAGAATCGAGCTCTCCAGAGTTCGACGACGGGAAACACCTCCCTTCTTTCCCCCCACTAACACTGAGTGGGGTGTTTGTGAGTGTAGTGTTGGAGATGGCTAGGAGGGAGCTTGTGTGGATTGTGGCGGTGGTGGTGATGCTGGAGGTGGCGGCCGCCGCCAACACTGAATCCTGCGCCGTCGTCAAGACCGTATACCGCCGCCAGGGCTTCAAGGATGCCGTGCCACAGCAACCAATACCAGGTGAGGCATCATCCCATTTCCAGGTACCTGATCAGGTTAATTAACATGCTCTTAGGTACCTTACCTCCCTCTTCTCACCTCCAACATCTCTCCGTTTTTCTGAGCCTCGCAGAGTACAGAAATTATAGCATTTATTGCTCCATTAGCTTACGCTACGTGTGTGTGGCTCACTGCTCACCATCTTGCAGCTGGTGACACTCACCACTAATGTAGACCAGCTGCCGAGTCATCCTTTGTAGAGTTCGTGTTACTCACCTTAGCACAGCACCTTTAACAGACTAGCACAGCACGGCACCCGAGCCCACTTAAACCTCAGCACAGTGGCACTAATTATTGTCATCGTAATTAGACACCTTTCCAAGGCTAATTATTAGCATCATTATCTACTTCAATTAAGAGGTCTACTTAGGATTAAGTAAGAACCTGGTTGAATGACCTTCCCACGGTGGCACCTTAATGCTGGTGAAGGGCTCTTGCTCATAGGAATTTCAGCTACCTTCAACTTCCTTGGATCAGTCCTTGACCATTCCCATGGTCAAGGACTGGGCCGCGGAGGCATTGACTAAGAACGACCTCCAGGTAGACTTCAGGTAAGTAGGTAGGTAGATAGCAGTGTTTTATTGTCAATTTTTCATTAAGTTCTCTAGGAAAACTGCAACAATAAACAAGAGAAAGAAAAATGTTGGGTAGGGAAGAGCAAATGGTGTTGGAGGTATTCTTCACGTCAAGGAAAATATACTATTGGCGAGGGTGTTAGTTCTATAAAGACCCGCTTAGTGGTTCCTGTGGGCCCGTTACTGGGACCCGGCCAACACTTATATCCCTGCTTACTGGTGCTCTGTATTCATCCCGTACATAAGTGAATGTGTAACATCCCCAAATAGTCTGGTCTGAACTTAAACTCAAGAAATCTACACTAATAATGCCATCGCCTAACATTGAGTGTAATATATCACTTAACATCTTGACATTTCGCAAAGCTTCCCCATAAATGGAGGGGGGGGGGGGAGTATTTTGATGCTTAACAGCTTTTGGTGTAAGAAATTGGAGCTACCAATACCTTAATCGGATCAAACCTGATTTCCTCTCCTCCCATTCCCATGGCGCTGTAAGACCTTTTATGGGTTTAGACAGCCTATGTAGCTGTCTAAAAACTTCATATCAATGCTCCTGATACACAAGACGGCAATGGTTACATCTGCTTTTTCCCTTCAAAGGGAGTGTCTTAATGTCTGTGATGGGTTCTTGGATCAAATAGAGTATCTCATTTCCCAGACACTTCATGATTTATGGGTATAACCGCAGCCTCTTGTATATGTAAATAAACAGATGCCTTCTTGTGTTGTATTGTTTCCTTAAAATGTGTTTACTTCGTAAATGCCCCCATTTGTGCTTATCTATTATCAGCCTAATATTATATGCTGCACGTAAGCAAGACAGCCTTGCCCTTGTTGAGGTACAGTTCATAAGGTGAATAGCGTAACCAATAGCACATACCAGTCCTAAAGATTAGATAAGCTTGATTCAGGTTCGCTACACTTGGTTTTACATATAATTATGCATTTATATAATGGTTGTAGTAAACGTAATTGCTACTGGTGATAAATTATGTAGGTTAAACCTAGGATAAGCCCAAAGAGTCCTCATGCGTTATTGCGTCATTCTTGTGTAGCCTACCTCTAGGAGAACTTAACCAGCTAGACTCAAGAAATCGTAATGACACGATTGCAAATAAACCATACCCCCGGCCGGGATTGAACCCGCGATCTTGAGTCATGTTGACGGCAGTGAAGGGACTTGAGCTAGAGTTCGTCACGGCCACGCTAGCTGGAGATTCGTCTGTAAAAACTTGCATTTGTGGTCACAGAGGTGCCTGTGCTAACTTTCCTATGGTGTAGAAATATACCTAGTTGGATGAATCTTATTGTGGCTAGCTGGTCTAGTGGCTAACGCGACGGGCTGGAGTTTTGAGACTCTATGACCGCGGGTTCAATCCCGGCCGGGGGTATGGTTTAACCAGCTAACTTGTATAGCCTGTCAGCTTCCTAATACAGCCGACTAGCTTCCTAGTACAGCCTGCCACTTTCTCCACTACAGCGTACCTTCTCAGTACAGCCTATTAACTTCGTACAGCATACCTCTGCCCTAGTTCAACCTCCTAGCTGACTCACTAAATCGTAATAAAACGATTGCAAACAAATCACAAGTTGGGCGAGAACCCATGGCAAGCCTGGAAGCGATTTATCACTTTCCTGCACAACCTACCTCCTTACCGACACAGCCTACCTTCCCAGCACAGCCTACCTCTTTCCCAGTACATCCAACATCCTTCCCTATACAGCCTACATCCTTCGTTATGCAGCCTACATCCTTCGCTATACAGCCTACCTTCTCTCTAGTAGCTCACCTTCCTGGTAGAGCCTACTTCTTTCCTAACACGATCTACCTTCGTATTAGTCTACTTCCCTAGTACAGAATACTTCCTAGTACAGTCTGCCTCTTTGGTATACCTGTGATTATTGTGACAGGTTTCGAGGGCTACGAAGCCCGGCTTTGGCCAGGTTTTCTTGTTGATTGCCTATTTAACCAGGATGTTGCTACAGTATTAGTGACCTGCTGGTCCACATAACCATCACACCCAAGCTATTTGTTATCTACGAGCTTCCTTGTGTAGGCGTCCATTTACGTTGCACATTTTACTACCCGTCTAGTACAGTTTATCACTTTTCTAGTAGAGGTTACCGCATCACTCTTGCTGATGAGGGAGCCCTTGATAAAAGGAATTTGACCTGTCCTCCCCTACTTGAAATCGAACCCAATTGCCTCTCATTCCCTTGGCGCTGTATGACCCCTGTGGGTTTAGCACTTATGATTATAATATTTCTTGTAGTGTCTATGATTTCCTCTAGTAGACCTGAGTCATGGGATGGTAGTATTTTGTTCTGTCGGGAAAATGGGGAAAAAATACTCCTGACGCTGGTCTTAGGGATATGAAAACTTTCAATCTCTTAGGTCATATGCCCGAGGCCTTCCGCTGGCTTTTAGCAGTCCGCCCCTTAAAAATAAATATAACATCATGAGGTGTGATATACAAGTTTCTCCACACAAACCATGTACACATTTTCGTCACTCAGTATAAGTAGTCTATCACTGTTAGTATAATTATCACCTGCAGTGCAGTCTGTTACCTCCCTAGTATAACCTTCCATATGTAGAGTACCTCCTGCTTAGCAGACCACCACAAACTCCAGTACTCGACTTTTAAAAAAGGCACCCTCTAAAAAGCTTATTGATCAAAAAATGTCTTCCCCTCCCCCCTTAAACACATGATAAATGATTTATGTTACCACATTATGGTTGTTTTACAACTAAGATTATAAATTTAATTGGTTTATTATCTGCGAGATAATGTTGTAAATGCAGGTGAATAATATAATCGTTAGCAAACGAGGGTGTTGGTGTTGGTGTTGTTGAAGAGTTGGTATTTCCCAACATAACGCAGATTTCTCTGGCAGGTTTAGTGCTCAAAATCCAATTATGTTGGAGAGTGACGTTTTCCTTGCAGTTTATGTGGTGTCTTGAAATCATAAATCATTCATGAAAAATGTTCTTGGTTAAAAATGCTGTACGGTGGGAAACATTGAGTTAAAAATGTGCACACGCATGAGACTGATGCGTCAAGTGACCGGGGAGGGGGAGGAATAAAGACATACCCGTGACTGGTTTCCAGGGTGATTCTACCTACTTAGCCCGGTGTGATGCCAAATCAAAGAGGTTGTTGCTGTCAGTAGCCCACAGGATTACATAACAGTCACAATCTGGCTCGTGTGGCATTTCCTGAAGGAAGTGATACATTTTCCTCATGAAAATCTCTTCTTTTGTTCCTGCAATATTTCTTATGTCTACTTGTAGAAGGTTGAAGAGTCTTGAACCACGGATGTTGACAATGTTCTATAATTGTACTTAAACATGTGACCGGTTTCAAGTTTTTTTTTTTTTTAAACCCTTTCAACACGGCCTTTGACCAGGCATCTTTGTTAATTGCCTCTTGAACTAGGATGTTGCTTTTAGCAGCAAACTGACACACATAAGCTTCACGGCCTGGTTAATTGGGCACTCTCCGGAAATAGTCATAAAACTTCGTAAAGACTTACTGCAAGTTTGAAGAGTCTTGGGCCATGGAGGCTGACACTCTTTTATTTTTCCATCTCTCTCTCACGGTAAGTTATGGTAGTGTGTAGGTTTGAGACTTGGCCCTCCAATATTTATTCTCTTCAAGCACTTTGAGACATTCCCAGAGTTTAGGTGCTTTATTGACTCTGCGGGTAGTAAACGATCTCAGCACATTTTCCAGCTCTGATAGCATTCCTTAAACGGAGTTGTTAGACAGAGCATAAGCGCTTTAAATATTACTATCACTGGCATTATTTATCTTGTTCTCATTAGCCACTCCCATTTTTCTGGCGTTCGCTGCATTTGCTTTATATTCTCTAAATGGGAGATCTGGCATTTTTATTCCTGGGTGTCTTTTTATCCTTTTCTAAGTTCTGTAAGATGTTCTACCTCCGTACTTGTTTTGAGTTCTTGATTCTTCCCAAATCTAAGCAGTTGAAATTTGTCACCATATGTTATTTTCATTTTTCTAATGGAGGACTATGTTGAAACATAATTGTAATTTTTCAGTATTTTCTACTGGGACGACTTTCATGCGTATTTTGGTATCGTTCGTAAATGCTGCTGTTAAACCGGTTTTAGTGTTTTTTATGTCTGCTATGGTAATGAGAAACGTTAAAGTTTACCTGTGGTACTGAACTGTGGTACTAAATTTTGTTTTGTTAATTATCACAACGTTCAGATTGTTAGAAATTTAAAAAAAATCCACTTCCCAACTTTTTTGTTATACCCCTTGACTGCATGTTATGGGCTATTATTCCATTGTCGATTTGTGAAACGCCTTTCCAAAACCCGTGTAGATCTACTTTTGGTTTTCCTCTTAGTTC